GACGCCGTTCGCATCGGCCAACGACGGCCGGCGGCACACGGAGAGGAGCGCGGGTTGGACGCGGGGCCGGGAATCCGGCGGTCGGCTGGGTTAGGATGGCACCGAGCGGAGCCACGAAACAGCACCGGGCTAAACAGAGGATGATAAATCCTCATGGCATCAGCTCTGAGCAGTAAAACACTCTGCGGGCCAGGGCCAGCAAACGCAGGAGCCACAGGAATAAAATATGCCATTATCTACAAGAATTATGGAGGAAGCACAAGATGCTGTTGCTTGAACTCTCTGGGATGGCTGGAAATCTCAGCTAGAACTTTTCAGGGAGAAGTCCGAGATGTGGAAACCCCTTCTTCAGATGTTCACAGAAGCACAGAATGGTCGGGGTTGGAAGGGACCTCTGTGGGTCATCTAGTCCGACCCCCCTGCCGAAGCAGGGTCACCTCAGAGGGAAGAAGTTCTTCCTCATGTTCAGCTGGAGCTTCCTCTGCTTCAGTTGGTGCCCATTGCCCCTTGTCCTGTCGCTGGGCACCACTGAACAGAGTCTGGCCCCGTCCCTTCAGATATTTAGAGGCATTTCTAAGGTCCCCTCTCAGCCTTCTCTTCTCCAGGCTGAACAAGCCCAGCTCCCTCAGCCTCTCCTTGTAGGAGAGATGCTCCAGTCCCCTCCTCATCCTCGTAGCCCTCTGCTGGACTCTCTCCAGTAGCTCCTCATCTTTCTGGAACTGGGGAGCCAGTTCTCAGCATCATCTTAGAGGCCTTTTCCAACCTTAATGACTGCGTGATTCTATGAATCTAAAAGACACCCCAGTGACTAGGGGGAAGGCAGAAGAGAAACGGCACAGTTGCAGTCCGAAGAAAGCTCCTGAGTTTTTCCATGTAGAAGTCCTTTCGTGTGGAAGCTCACAGACGCGTGGACGTGCGCATCCCACAGAAAACCACCCCCGAGATGCCGAAGCCTGCAGACACAAGACCACCCGACCCCTGCAAACGGGAGGCCGCAGCGCGACTCTTGTGCCATTACAGGTTTCTGAAGCAAAGTCAGTTTAAAGAACTTGCTTTCCCCTTCTCGGATTTGTCAGCGCTTCCCACCAGGCTCGAGCCGCAAGCCCTGAATTTTATCTCCAGGCCTTTGAAATTGTGGGCAGCTGCTACCTGCCATTGCAATCGACCTTTCTGAGTTTGCTCTTTGTAACTGCTACAGAAATAGATGTTTTCCTCCAATATTCAATTTTTTGAAGTAAATTGCTTCCTTTCAGCCATTCTCCGCTCTAGACAGCAACTTTAAATTTGTCAGAGAGCTCTGAATTTCCCATCCAGGCAGACGCGTGTGCGCTCGCACTCAGTCGCTGCTTGGAAAACGCTCCACCATGGCAGAAGAACATACCCAGAGGTACCCGAGTCCACCCGAGGGCATCGGCAGACAGCTCCATGCGACCCAGAGCAGATGGGTGATCTTAAAATGCCGCACTGAAGTAACCAGACGCTTGCGGCACGGAGCACACGGACAATGGCTTTTTCCTTCCAGCCCCTGGCTACCAGAAATCTTTACAGAATCCCAGCATGGTTGGGGTTGGAAGGGACCTCTGTGGGTCACCCAGCCCAACCCCCTGCCCAAGCAGGGTCACCCACAGCAGGCTGCACAGCACCGTGGCCAGGCAGGGCTGGAATATCTCCAGAGAAGGAGACTCCACAGCTTCCCTGGGCAGCCTGGGCGCCGGCACCCTCAGAGGGAAGAAGTTCTTCCGCGGGTTCAGCTGGAGCTTCCTCTGCTTCAGTTTGTGCCCGTTGCCCCTTGTCCTGTCGCTGGGAACCACTGGAAAGAGCTTGGCTCTTTTTACTGAAAAGAGCTTTGGTCTTGAACGTCTCATGTCAGGAACAACACTAAAGCAAGACTGCGCCTTCTTTTGTTTATCTCCTGTTCCAGATGTCCCACGCATGTTCAGGTTTCACCGTTTCACCAAACAAATTCAACCTGAAATATTCCTGGTTTTACTTCATTCCCACCTATGAAAACAACTCAGGAAAGGGCGCGACGTGGAGCCCAGAGGCAGGGTCCTGGAGTTTATCCCCAAGCCGCCACACGCTTTCCAGCGTGACCTTCGCAAAGCGGCTTCGTCTGCCTCAGCCTCGGGGCGAAAAAGGGAAGAAATGATTCTGCTCTCTCAGGGGGGTGCTGTGAGAATCAGTGCAGGCGTGTTTTGCCCAGCACTTTGCTATTTATGGGTGCAAAAGGTGCAAGAGTAAGGTAAATGTTTATTATAAATGTTTATTATAAGCAAGCTCGCCTAGAAGTAGCTGTTTCGCCTCTTAAACAAGAGTCAAGGACGGCAGTGAGAACTAGGGAGAAGCCATCTAGAGCCCACAGACAAGGCAGAGCAGATGCACTGGGGCAATTAAAAAGCAGCTATTAAAGCCCGTCCGCTTCTCCCATGAATCTCCTTTACGATGGGGAGACTCCCCGCAGAGGAAGACGTCTCACACCCGGCGTATCCTTGCGCTCAAGCTACTCGCAAGGCACCAAGGGGAACTGCAGGCTGTGCATGGTTGAAAACGCCAGCTAGCCGTACGGGTCACCCTTTTTGCTTTGTTTTGTGAGGTTATTCCATCGAAGCCTGGGGTTTTACACACTCACTTTCCTCCCTAGGAACAAGTTTAACTTGAAACTACCATTTAGATTTCCCTTGGGTTTAGACTATGTTGGTCTAGGGAGGATTTTTCTCAGGCTGAAGGGATGGTTTTACCAGAAGCTCTTTCTCAGAATCTGTTGACTCTTTTTTGGGGTTTGGGTTTTTTTTGTTTGTGGGGTTTTTTTTTTGTTGTTATTGTTTCTTTTTTAATAGGGAACGGGAGAATAGAGATTTCCACCAAAGCTAAGACCACCATGTCGGTGGGACCTGCCTTTGCACATCTCGGCAGACAGCCCACGGCACGTTCAGGTCAGGCCCCGAGAGCCAGGAGGTCACCAGCGGCACAAGGAGGTGCAACATCCACGGATGGCCTGTGCACGCCAGACCCACTTCGCTGCTTCCAACGCCTCACCTCGCTAGACCACACCTTGCCCAGCAGCACCTTGCCTGCTGCGGTCAGGCCTGCA